GAGGGCCTGGCATCAGTTTTTTATAAAGTGACTTAAGGTGACTTGAGCTAGCAGCCAGGTTTAAACTCTACACTGGGACAGATGCTTCCATCCTTGTAATCACCCGGGACATGTTGCTGCTCCTGGCTATTTGAACCTCCGTCAGTGGGTTGGGATTCACAAGTGGCCCAGCTCTGTGGTCTTTCTTCATCAGACTAACAATAAACACCCTAGTTTGGAAACTGGTTATTTCCAACCTCAGTCTACACTTAGTCAATCTTCTCTAGTCAGTGCCTTTCCTGTGTGTTAAAGCCTAATGAAATTCCTAATAATCAATTGGTTTGGAACCTATAAATAGCAATTTAATATGGTCTGTCCTTAGCTCATTGAGGCAGTCCTAACATTTCTCCTGTTTACATATCAACTTCTAGTGTTTACTAGTTGGTATACACTGTATATATTACTTGAAATGGGGGAAAGAAGAAGACTTCACCTGGACGTCCATGAAGCAAACAGAGGTGTGGTGATTACTGGTAGAGAAAGTGGTCTACAGCAAAGTCGAGTAGCAGAGTTATTTTCCATTGAATGAAAATGTCAAAGAACTAAAATGTTGTTTTAAAAATGTTTATTTTTGAGGTCAAAATAAAATCCCAAATTAATATGATGATTATGATTATTATTATCAAGAAAGGGAGTAACCTGGGTGTCAGTGGCTCCTGCCTGTAATCCTAGCTACTTGGAAGGCTGAGATTGGGAGGATTGAGGTTCGAGGCCAGCCCAGTCAAATAGTTCCTGAGACTCCCATCTCCAAAATGAAATGGAAGTATGGCTCAAGTGGTAGAGTGCCTGCTTTGCAAGCACGAAGCCCTGAATTCAAATCCGAGTCCCACCAAAAAAAGGTAGTAAGTGCTAACTAAATAAACAAATAAGAAGTAAAAAGACAAAATAAAAGCTAACTTTAAAAAAAACACTAAAACCCAACTCTCCACATTAAACCAATCAAACCTATAATGCAGATTTATTTAAAACATGAATGTTTTAATTTGGATAAAATGGTTTTGAAAACAGAAACTAAGTTTATTAGAGAAAAAGGTAAAGAGAAAGTCTCCAAAAAAAAAAAGGTAATTCCAGGTCTGTGGTATAGCGCTTGTCTAGCATGCATAAGACCCTGGGTTCAATCTTTAGCACTGCCAAATTAGAAAGATAATTCTTTTGGTTTTGATAATTTAAAGTATGTTTATCGTCTCTGTGTCACTTTTTAGATATCTTTTTTATGTGTTGGATCAGTGCCTTACTTGTGAGGCTATACTCAGTCTAATCTGTATTATTGGAACAGTTTATCTCAGTTCTATTTCTAGTATTGACAAGTCTAAGGAATAACTTTGGCTATCTTCCTAAATTTCTCTATTTGATGCTCTTCTGCAAGTCAGAACTAAATAGTAATAATCAATGTCATACCATAGAAACCTTTGTGGCAAGTTTGCTCATGTACTTCATAATATTAGCTAGAATTATGGAGATATAAAGAGCCTGGAGAGAGATTCTGTAGTCCAACTTTCTGATTTTATAAGGGAAGAAATTAAAGTCTCCACAAAGTCATGTAACTGGCTTTCCAGGTCTACTATTGAGTGACAGAACTGGAAATAGAATTCTGTTTCCAGAATGATAGCATGCTGTTCTTTGTATAAAAAAGCAACAGGTCTAACATTGGAAACAGAGAGAGACACATACAAACAGAGATAAATGAATTATGAAGGAACTAGTGTACTTTGGAAAACACTGTAAGAAAAATTTCTCGCCAAAAACCAAAGAGTACCAATGTTTCATACAACACCGAGCAAGAACAGTTACTGACTCTTGTAACTCTCAGGTGGCAGCTACTTGATTAAATTTCAGTGAACTTTTCTTTCTTCCTTTTAAAAAAAAATTTTAAAAAGTTTTTTTGCAGTATTAGGGATTGAACCCAGGGCCTTGGTTCATAGGCTTGAACCATACCTCCAGCTCTTTATTTTTTTTTTATTTTGTTTTTGAGACAGGGTCTCACTAACTTGCCTGGTCCTTGAACTTGTGATGCTCCTGCCTCTACCTCCCCAGTGGCTGAGATTACAACTGTGCACAAGCTAGGCTCTCAGTCAACATCATGTTGATCAAACTCAACAGTTGCTATATCCCAAATGTTTGCTAAGTGACTGATGAGTGCTCCCAATTCCTGGGCCTCACACCCTGGTATACCTGCAAGAAAGTAGTGGAACTCTTCAGTTTGCTTAAGAAGGAGGAATTTACTTCTACTTCTACCCCTGCCATAGGCCCCAAATTAAATAACCATTAGTTCCTTCTTTTTTCTTGTTTTATTTTGCTTCTTGTTTTGTGGTGCTGGGGGTCAAACTCAGGTCCTCATATATGATATGCAAGTGCTCTGCCACTGAGCTACATCCCCAGCTACCGTTAGTTCCTTCTAAAATCATCAAAGATTACTAAACCAATCCACAGAAACACCAGGCCACAGACAACTAGTTGGAAGGTCTATAATAACAAACATTATTAGTAAAGACCTTCATCTATAATTTGCTCTAAAAGATATGATTATCAGTTTGGATTAAGCAAGACAAATGAGAATAAACGCCTTCATAAGAAACTATTTGGGCTAAACCTGCAGAAACAGATTTATTAAGTGATTGATTAGTCTGAAACTGTGACAAATACAGTTCAAAGTTCCCATAGGGCAGTCAGGAGCTGGAAGAGTACTCCAAAACAGACAGGAAACAGGACAAGTTCAGATAACACACACTTGAGTTCTTTTAATCAAGAACTAAGTTTCTTCCTTCAATCTAGAGTCTTTTTTCTAACATCAAAGGAATCAGATTTTAGTGACTTAAAAGAAAGCTCTCTCTCTCTAGGTTTTTCACACTTGAACATTTTCACAGTCAAACAAAGAAATACCTGGGAACATGAAAGCTCAACCTCCCCAGTGATGACCAACCTGAAACTTGACTGGAATTTAAAGACTGAGCTACTGGTAACAGCTTCATTACCTTTGACTGAAACAAGTCCTTTCTTCAGAGTGAATAACCCACATGAACTAGGGTTTCCCCATAAACTCTTTAAACCAGGATTAGAAAACTCTGAAAGATATTTCTGAAAATTATACAAAATTAATTAAAGTTTCTTCTTTTTTTTTCAACTGGGGACCTCATACCTGTTAGGCAGGTACTCTTTCACTTGAGCCATGCTTCAGCCCTCTTCTTTTGTTTTTAAGAAGCTCCAAAGTAGGACTTAAAATGATCATTTTAGGAATTATTGATCACATATATCAGTTTGTACCGTTTCTTCAAATTTTCCCTTATCTTTACTTTCAGGAGAAGGAAAATATAGTTGAAAGTGGCATGAATGCCTCCTATGTCGAGTGATCATATAATTTATCATCCAAACTGGGCCACTTTTTTTTGGCAGTATTGGGGATTAAGCCCAGGGCCTCATGCTTGCTAGGTAGGCACTCTACCAATTGAGCCACTTTGCCAGTCATTTTTTTGTGTTGGATAATTTTAAGACAGGGTTTCGAGAACTATTTGCCTGGGCTGGTTTCAAACTACAATCCTCCTGATTTCTGTCTCCCCAGTAGCTAGGATTACAGGTGTGAGTTACTGGAGCCTGGCTCTGGACCACTTTTGAAAGTTGAGTGACTTAAATAATTAGGACAGGACCAAGATGTAAGAGCTCTCTCAGGCAAATCCAGTTTTGTGGTTATCTTCCTTTTCAGAGTCCACATGAGAGCGCATATTTCTACACTTGCACTTGATAGGGACCCACCTTTCCCTAGGACACTGGGACAGAAGTTAAGTATTGTTAGAGCACTGTTCAATATTGTTAAAGTGCTGTTACCGATAAGCCTTTGTTGTAAACACCCTTTTGAAAGTTTTTTTCTTTTTTTCCCCTTTAAATTGTGCTGAGATGTTGGAGGCTGCGAACAACTGTTGACCTTTCTCTGGGGACCTGGCTGCCTCCTTTAGCAAAAAAAATGACTGCCAACCAGGCAGCTGAACTGTCCTCATGTCAACACCCAAAGCACTACTCTAGGTCCATAAGGCATTGCCCCACTAAGCAGCTTGAATTGGATTCAGCCCAACAGAAGACCTGTGATTGGTGGAAACACAATCCTTCATTTGCATAATGAACTGAACCATGATTGGTACAAACATGAGGGGCCTGCTCTGATTGGTGCAGAAACCCTTAGCTGCTTCCCCTTCTGGGTATAAAGCAAGCAGGCTGCTCAAATCATTTTGTGAACAGTTGAGAGGTACCTTCCTTGCTGCCCACTCCCCCCAAGTTATAACACTAGGTTCTAATAATAAAGACTTTTTCTCAAATGGTCTTACCTTTGCTGAACTGGTAACAGAAGAAAAAGAAAAAAAGCAGCAGCAGTGATAGGGAGGAAGTTACCCTGACAGCAGGGTAGTAGTAAGACTGGCAAGCTGAGAGATCCTGGCAAAACTGACCAGAGTAGCAGGGACAGGCAGTGAATGGCAGCCAAGAATATGGGCAAGTAATGGAGAAAGTAAAACTGACAGTGGTGTTCTGCTGTTGGAGAGACCCATCCTGCAGCAGGAACTATAACATTTAGGGCCCTGAGTCCTGTGCTACTGCCCTAGTTATCAGGGGCTGTGGACTAGAGTCCCAAACCCCAAAGACTCGAACCATGTGCCATATTCTAGGTGTAAGGGGCCTCGGGCCCAAACTCTGTGATACTGTCCTAGCTGTCAAAGAATCACAGCTAATTGCCTTTGCCCACTCTCATCCTCTCTGTTGCCTGCAAATACCTCAAGAACCTAGAATAACTGGAGGAGTTTCTCCTCATCTATTGAAGATTTCTATCTGGGTAGAGTAAAAGAGCTCCAGTCACCTGGTTTGTATCACTCTGAGGGTCTCCAATACATCCAGAATGAAAAAGGCTTGTTCATTTCACATCCTAGTATCCCACATTCTATCTGTTCCTCCCTCCCACAGCATCATATACCCTTACTTACCCGACCACCATGTCCTTGGGTCCAGCAGTCACAGTGCAGATCCCGTCCTCACAGTGTTTTCCCACCAGGCTGTGGGCATGCAAGTGGATATTTTTTCCATTGGTGACCAACTGAACAATAACTTTTGCAGGTCCCACATAGTTGCAGATCTATATAAGAAGCACATTTTAAAAGTTAGCATATCTGACTATACTGCAACACAGAAAAATGTCTATGATAAGCTAATAAGCACAAGTATGATGCAAACTTGTGTATACCCACACATATATGAGCACAGCTCAATTTTTAAAGGTATATGATGAACAAATTACAGGATGGAAATAAATCAAAATGTGAATGGTAGTTGTTTTGTGTGGTGAAAAGATGTACTCCAGGAAGGAGGTCACTTAAAATACAGTGTGCATTGTAAAAGAGTGTATCTTGGAGGATGCTGTGACATCATGAAGCATCCCTTTCCTCTAACCAAAATGTTTTCCTCTGCACTCTCATCACAATTTTTCATAGCAAAAGCTGTGTGAGTGATCAAGGGAACAAGGAAGGTAGACAGAGCAGCGTATCCTAACTCCCCACTATGTGACTGGAGGGCTGGCTTTAGACACTCAAGCCTGTGGACTTGGCCCACGGTCATCTGTTAGCCTTTGTAGGTCTCTCTGCCATGAGCTCTGATAATTACACATACTCCGGTCACTGCAAGTTTCTTCATTAAAAAAAGTATTCTCTGTAACTGTAAATCCTTAGATTTCACACCTATTTACTTGTTCAGCTCTTATTTTATTAAATCGAACTTTTTTCATGTAAAGCAGCTTATTGTTTTTATTGGTATATCTTTAAAATGAAGATAACAGCAACAGAGAAGAAACAGCAAAAGAGCTTGGACACCCTTTTTCCTCCAGTTGGGTCATCCACATGATGACCACATATTCTTTCCTTGGGAAAGCCCCAACACAAAAAGCATGTTAACAGAAAAGATCCATGGCCTCATTTTTACTCTCCTTAACCTTATTAAGTCAGAAATCTATAGATTCACCCAAATTGTTGGAAATACACTATGTCTTGCAACTCCTTCTGATAAAGACTTGAAGAAGAACCTGCACTTGCCAATAAAACTTCTTGGAAAGAGACAGAATCCATTCCAACCAACTTACTTCTATTATATTCATCAACTGGGTTCGTACTTCATTGAGACAGGGTTTTTGTAGACTTCTTTTCCCAATCCAATCTCTGATTACAAGAGTTAAAGAGTTGATCATTGCTGTGGTTACTCCCCAAAGAGAAATTATATTCCCGAACAAAGGTCAGACTCCCTTCTGATTAACTGTGCAGCTCCACTAGAAGCCCCTGGGCCTCTCTGCCTGAGCCTTGGTGCAGAGCTATGACAAAAGTTTGCTTCTGAACCCTCTAACATCCTGCCATAGTTTGAATGTTCCCATCAAAACTCATGCTGAAATTTAATCCCCACTGTGAGGGATTAAGAGGGTTGACACTTAATCCAACTATAGTATTTGGATTTAAATTTAATTACCCAAATAAGCCATAAGGTCCTAATCCAATGGGGCTGTGGCTTTATAAGAAGAGGAGGAGATACTTGAACTAGGATGTTCTGTCTTACCACCTGATGTTTGGGGTTGTCCTCGAACTATGTAGAGAGTCCCCACAAGTAAGAAGGACCCCATGAGATGTGGCTGCATAATCTTGAACTTCCCAGTCTTCAGAACCATGAGCCAGATGAATTCTATTCTGTATAAACTTCTCAATCTATAATAGTTAGCTATAGCAACTGAAAATGCACTAAGAGATACCCTTCCCAAGGAGCAAGGCCATCAGCAGGAGTGGCCTCCAGGCTTCATCAAGCAAGTTAATTACAAAGAGTGTTTCAGATTTAATTCGATTTTAAAGCATAAATCAATTTCTTAGGCATAGCACCTAAACAGTCCTCTGGGCATAAAGTTAATTATGAATTGAGTATGCTCCCTTTTAAAATAGGCAGAAGGCCTTTGCCCTTAAGTGCAGGACAGGGAATGAGAAGTTCTAAGTGTGCTCCAAAGTTGCCTGTTGTTCCTGCATAGTCCCTACACTGTGGATGCCAGTTCTGGGCCTTGATAATGACATCTGAAATCAATCTTCACTAATGAACAGTAAAAGAGCACTAAATATACTTGGTAATTTCACTTGTTAGTGACAGTGAGCACAGGAAGGCAACAGGGTGAGGTGTGATGAAAAGCTTCACTTGGATGAAATCAGGCAGTCTCTCCAGTTAAGCAGGACAGCAGAAGGAATTTGGTGAGTAATTCCTGAGCTTGATCACTTTGGATATTTGAACACCACAGTGTTGCCACTATAAGAGAATTAGTCACTGGCAGTGAAGGAAAGTGGTGGGAGGTATGCTCAAAAAGCCCTTGCATGTTTTCCTTACTGTTACCTCATGACTGAAGGGTGGCAAGAAGGAGGAACTGGGTAGTCTCTGAGGTAAGAACCTGAAGGATTTGCCAGTGACTAATGTGCCGTTTGATCCATTTGAAAGAGTTCAAGTCAGCATGGCATCATTTGGTTTTTACATAGACCACAGAGCCATGACAGGGAGGCCCCTGGGCTTTGCTGGACTTTCCAAAATACTGACTGAAAGAAAAAAGCTGAAGTGTGGGGACAGACAAAAATGATACTTACAGACCCTGGCAAGCTAACTTGGGGGAGACCACCCTTTACAAAATGCCATGGTGACTGAGAGCTATTAGCAATCAATTCAGAAATTCATTTGTTCTATGGAGAATTTAATTCTTTTCACGCAGCCTCCTTTTTATTGCTTTGAATAGTGGTTCCCTTAAAAATTAAGTTCACAGAGAGCAACTGTGTCTGTTAGAAAGGTTTGTCTGAAAGAGTGTGAATATAATAGACTCTTAAACACAAGTTAAGCTTTCAACCACAGCCAAGGAAACAAAAGTGATGAAATGGAGCAATCAGCCACCCAAGGGAACTGTGAGAGCATGGACTTTAGGGGAAGGCTAGCTGCATGTAAAGACAGCTCCACCATTCATTGACTGTGTGACCTGGCTCAGCTTCCTCATCTGTAATGTGAGATAATAATATTAGCTCAAAGGATTTTGGAGAGGATTAAATTCATTAAGGCATATAAAGTCTTAATGGAAGAGTGCTTAGCAAATAATAGCCATATAGCTAGAGTTAACTACTATCTTATCAATTATCGTCATGTACTCTTCTACCTAGAGATATTTCAATATTACAACTGCTCAGGGATGATTTTTTAAATATCCTGTTTGAAGCCAAGCATGGTGGTACTTGCTTATAATCCCAGACCTGGGAGGCAAAGGCAGGAGCACTGTGAGTTCGAGGTCAGCCTGTGTTATATAGTGAGACCCTTTCAAAATAAACAAGCAAAGAAACAATTAAATACCAAAACTAAACAATAACAGTAACAACAAAAACCATCCTGTGTAAAGCAGGTGGCTAGAGTAAATTACCAATTTAGGCCCCTTCTATTCCTAAAAGTCTTTTTTTCTCTTTGGGGGGATGGTGTATTTTTTTTTCCTAGAGTGCCATACTTTTTCAGGCTTTGTTAAGTTTTCTAGTAATAATTATGTTCTTATAGTAACAACTGACGTTCTTCAGGGTACTCAGGCTTCCTTGGTTCCCCTGATTAAATTTAAGACTTTCTTCCAGCCAGATGTGGTGGTATGCACCTGTAATTCCAGCCACAATGGAGGTTGTAGGTAGGAGGATTACAGTTGGAAGCCAGCCCTGAGCAAAAGTGAGACCACATAGGAAAAACAACCTAAAGCAAAAAGGGCTTAGGAGTACAACTGAGAGCATGACTCAAGTGGTAGAACATTTGCACCCTGAATTCAAACTCCAGTTTAAAAAAAAAAGGAGGGAGGGAGGGAGGGAAGAAGGGAGAGAAAGAGAGAAAGAGACTGAGAGAATGACTTTCTCCAAGCAGTTTTGTGAATCAACACCTTCTGATGACTACAGGCCAGATCTGTTTTTTGAGTAAGAACTAGAAACTAAGGTGCTGAGGTAATAGTAATCTCAGTCAGATAACCTACTTTTATTTAAAATAACTCTATCATACTGTGAAAACGCACATGCTGGTTCTTCAAAGGTGATTAAAAGAAGTAGTCTAAACTCTTCTAGGAATCAGACCTTGAAATGTGCAGTTTCCTTTTCTGGGTAAATTTGGCCAAATCACTTTAAATGACAAAAGTAGAGGCCACATGAATGTAAGATGTGACACAAGAAATTGTCCTTTGTTATGCTTAGATTTTCTTGTGATGCTTGTGCTGCTGATAGTAATGAAGGCGAGGAAAGAAAAAAGAAAAAGAAAGAAAAAAATCCACAATTTCCAGACAAAAAATTTGTCCTGAATTTACTTGTGTACCTGACTTTGTTCTCTGCCACATAAAACAGCAGAACAGTGAGGCTAAGTTTGCCAGCTTCTGAAGCCATGCTGCCTGGGTTCAAGTTCCCTAGCTGTCAATTATTAGCTGTGTCAACAGGGAAAGAATGGTTAACATCTCAGGGTTTCAGTTTCTCTATCTTTAAAAGTAACAATACACTTGCTATCATAAGATAATTTTTAGGCTGAGTTAATGGAATGCATGACACCTAGTGGGATTAGTTAACCCAAATATAAATCCTCTCCTGTCCAGGCCTAATATTTCACTGACAACCAAAATTTCTCTCTTTATTCATTAAATATTTATTAAACCCTTTCTAAATATTCCACACACTGAGTAAAAGGATGCACGGTGAGTACAGAACAGGCACAATCCCTGTTCTTATGGGAAATTAAAGAGTGGGACTGATTCTATCAAGTAATTTCACAAATATATGTAAAAAATAACTGGGAAGAACTTATCAAAAAAGACCGGTAAGAGGGTTTTGACCTAAGTAGGAAGTGAGAGAAATCTTCCTGATGGAGTAGTGAGGGCTGAGACTTGAAAGAAGAATAGGAGTGTGGGTAGGGAACAAGGCAGCTGAAAGAGTATGGCTGGCAGGGAGAACAGTGTGTACAAGGGTTTTGAGGTGAATGTCCTACACATGACGCCTCAGGTTTACTCATCTCTTCTTTGTAGGCATGCCTTCAACACGCATGCCTTACCACTTTAGCCCATGAAAGTTCCACTACTGTCCTTGTTTTAGAGATGTGACTGGAGGCAACAGGGCAGGAAAAGCATATGCAACTGGCCACAAGGGTTGTTCTATTTCTCTTGCTTGTTCATTTCTCTGAGCACATACATCTGTACTTTAATTTAACATGTAATTTACAGTGTTTTACAGAAGGGGAGGGGACATACCAACTCAGCCAATTCCCAAGACAGCCCTGTAGGGTCAGTAGTGGTACCCCATTCTACTGCTGAAGGAACTGAGTTCCAGGTAAGTGAAGTAAATTGCCATGGTTACTATAAGTGCAATGACTGGGCAGTTCCTTAAAATTGGATCTGTTTGCCTCCCAAGCCCATTCACACTTTCCATTACATTGTGCTACCACTTGGCTTTATCATTTTTTACATGTCCAGTCTCCTCAGTGTTTTGTAGCTCTACTTCACCTACCAGAGTGTACCATGGTACATGACACTTATCCCTAAAAAACCTGTGTCTTTGTTATTGTTGGTC